TGCTGCTGCCAGCAGCTAACACCCCGCACGGAGAGACGAGCCCCGCAGAAGGAAGGCACCAACGGTGTGTTTGCCTTTGCTGCTGCTGCTGCTGCTGTTTGTGCTGCTGTGCTGCTGTTCGTGCTGCTGCTGCTGCTGCTGCTGCTGCTGCTACACGCCCGCGTTTGTAGGGCGGTGTTGCAGCTGGTTTACGCAGCCGCCACAGCAGCAGCAGCAGCAGCAGCAACAGCAGCAGCAGATGCAGCAGCCGGAAGAGGAGGCTCAAGAGTTACACTCTCGAGCGCGCTGGCGCTGCAGCAGCAACTGGATGGGGCGGGGGCAGCAGGGTGGTGGGGAGGAGACAGCAGGAGAGACAGCAGAATATAAAAAGAGAGAAGAGAAGCAGACAAGGTGCTGGTTGCTGCTGGTGCAGTGTTGTTGTTTATGGATAGGATGCTATAAAGAGAGAGAAAAAAGAGTTATATTTAAAACAGAAAGAAAGAGAAAAGAAAAAATAAAGAAAAAGAAAGAAGAAAAAAACAAAACACCAACAGCAACAACCCTCTTATACCTCCTGGGGTGTACAGGCAGCTGCTGCGTTGCTGCTGCTGTTCTTTTGCTGCCGTTGTTATGAGCACTTTCTCGGCTTTTTATAAATAAAAACAAATAAATAACAATAAAATATTCTTTTCTTCTTTTTTTTATTCTTTTCTATGCAAATAAACCCCTATCTGCTGCAGGGGGCTCATGTGCTGCTGGCGGCGTGATGGGGTGTATGTACACCCCAAGCGCCAACCACGGTCGCTCCCGTGCTATGCTCGGGGTGTTGTTTTTCTTTCTTTTTGTTGCTTTTTAATAATAAATATATTTTTTTTATGTTTTTTTTCTTCTTAAACACAAAAATAGAAACCTAATTATATATTATACACCCCATAAACACCTTCTCTTACTGCTGCTGCTGCTGCTGCAACCCGCAGCAGCAGCAGCTGCCTGCTGCAGCAGCAAGGGTGGGGGGCCCTGCTGCTGCAGCTGCCTCTTTAGTTTTGGGGTGTATATACACCTCAGCATCTTTTTTTCTTTCCTTCTTTTATATAATAAACATAAATTAATACTATTTATTTATTCTCAGGTGTACACACAGCATCGCTTACATATGAGGTGTACATACACCCCAACCCACCCACCGTATACACTAACACAGAGCTGCACATACACCCCAACATGCATTCTTCCTTTACTTTCAGCTGTACATACACCTCAACATGCATTCTATCTTTACTCTCAGGTGTACATACACCGCAACCCTTGTTCTTCCGTTGCTGCTAGCTGCATATACACCCCAACTCGTACACTCTCTCTCAGCTGTACATACACCCCAGCCCACACTCTCCCTCTACTCTGAGCTGCGCATACACCCCAACAAACATTCTCCCTTTGCCCCCAGCTGCATATACACCCCAGCTTATATTTTCTCTCTCTACTCTCAGCTGTACATACACCCCAATCCAAGCACAACAACATATACACCCAACAACAACCGCAACACCTCCTACCCTCTCCTGCTGCATGCAGTATAAACTAAAAGGGAGAAGGGCTGTTGCTGTTTCTGTTGCTGCTGTTGCTGTTTCTGCTGCTGCTGTTGCTGCTGCTCCTTCTGCTGCTGCTGCTGCTCTTGCTGCTGCTGTTGCTGCTGCTGCTGCTGCTGCTGCTGTGTTGTATCTAAGAGGCGGATGGGTCTGAAGGCCCCTTGAGCTGCATGCATGCACAAACAAGTCAGTGCAGCAGCTGTCTCCTTGTCTCCAGCAGCAGCAGCAGCAGCAGCAGCAGCAGCAGCTGCTGCTGCTGCTGCTGGGAGACGAGCAATGAACAGTCTCCTCAGAGCACTGCAGCAGGAGCAGCAGCAGCTGCTGCTGTTGCTGCTGCTGCTGCTGCTGCTGCTGCTGCTGTTACTGACTTCTGTACGCAGGTGCATTGTTGCTGTCTCCTTTTCTCCCCGCTGTCTAACACAGACTATCTGCTGCTGCTGCTGCAGCGTGAGCTGTTGCTGCTGCTGCTGCTGCTGCTGCAGCAGCAGCAGATACTGTCTCCTTTGTAGTTCACACTGTCTCCTTTGTGTGGGGTGGACGGAGACAGCGGCGTCTCCTTTTTTTTTGTATCTCTGTCTCTATCTATCTTTCTGTCTCTCTGTCTCTATCTCTTTGTCTCTATCTCTCTATCTCTATCTGTCTCCTTCTCTCTCTTTCTTTTTTTTCTGTTTGTTTGTTTGTTTATCTCTTCTGCTGTTTCTCTTTCTGCCTCTGTCTCTTTGTCTCTTTGTCTCCTACCTCTCTCTCTGTCTCTCTTTGTCTCTGTCTCTTTCTGTCTCTCTTTTTGTCTCTCTGTCTCCTTTCTGTCTATCTGTCTCTCTTTCTGTCTCTCTTTTTGTCTCTCTGTCTCTCCTTTTGTCTCTGTTTTTTCTCTCTATTTTTGTTTATGTTTTTTTCTGTCTCTATCTCTCTGTATCTATCTCTCTGTCTCTCTATCTTTCTATCTCTGTTTTCTTTTTTTTTTTTT